TGCTCGAATTCTCTCTGGCATACGCCTACACACCACAATCTGCACCCTACAAACCACTATGTACAGAAAACTCATGGCCCACCACAGCATCCACAAAACCAGCAACAACCCCAGGCACACCAAGAATACTCATCTATAGTCAGTCTCCCTGGGGACCACCTCGTCTGCTCCAACTTGTGACACACAATTCACCCGCCTGAAAAATGTTGTTCCCAGGCGAGGATGTGCCAGCAGAGAAACAGGTTGCATTTTGGAGCAAGCCACACAAATACACCACCTATTGCAATGCAAAAAGAAGCTGTTACACGCTGGAACTCATAAGGAGGATTATGAAACAATTACAGCCCCCATCAAAAAAAAGATCAGACCGTGAGGGAAATGCTCCCAAAGCCTGCACTCCTGGCCTTTGAGCAACCCCAAAACTTGGCCCAACTCAGCAGCAGCAGCAAAACTGTCCCTCCTGTCAACAGATTTCAAATGGGACACGGCCCAGCCTTAGCAGTAAATGCAAAGCCTGTCAATACATCTCCACTGCCCTGACAATTGGCACCCCACAAAAAGACTCCATCAGAGTGCATGGGTCCTACATACGTATGTCCCAGAATGCGGCACTCACGCAGCATACCAGGTGTCCTTGTGGAAAGCATGTGGTGAAACCAGGCAGGAAAGAGGAATGACCAAGAAGGAACCCTTACAGAAAGAGACACAGGAATACCAGAAGGAGCACATTTGTCGCAGAACAACCATTCCTTCTCTGACCTCTCCTCCTTTTGCTCAAAGGGAATTTACAAAACACCTGCAGAAGACAGGCCCAAGAACAGAAATTAATAACCCTACTAGATAGACAGTGGCTTCATGGCTCATTACAACCCAACAGATAACATTAGGAATCTCCATGCACTTCGTAGGAAATATCTCCCTTCCCCTCTTGAATGCTCTAGCTCTGCCACTCAGCAGATTGCCTGGTCCACTGCACTGATTTTGTGCGTCCTGTCCCTCCAAGCAGTCTGTCTGCATTTGCATGTGGGCTTCCTTTGATGTGTGCTCAGCCTGTGTCTGCCTCTTTCTTAAACCCGAAGAAGGGCACTTGATGCTCAAAAGCTTGTCCAACTGCTCTCCCAACTATACTGTTCCAATTAAAGTGATCCCTAAAAGTCCTTGCATCCCATAGGTTTTGAAGGTCACCTTCAGAACAGAGCAGTTTCCCCTCTTGTATTTGGTCTACGTCAACATGTTATAGATGAAACCAAGCGAGGATGCAAAGGAAAGACTTTTTGCGGGTGCGGCATTTTCCGTTTCTTTGTGTGGAGCTTCTGTTTGGACCTGCCCAACCTAAACGCTGCACTTCAAGGATGAGTGCTCTCGAATAGGGCGTTCCAGGAGAGATTGCGGTAATTGCAAAGGCCACAGCAGAGAGAGAGAGATTGATGGCCTTGCTTTTGCATATGCCTTTTGTTAATTCTTTTAGCAGCTGCAGTGCTAATGAAACGTTTCAGCCCATCGTTATCTGTTGATACCTCCTAACAGAGACTGGACTGCTATCACAGGCGGGAGAGCTGTTTATTTAATTCAATCACATTTGAAATGTGCAGAGAAGCAAGACCAAAGGCAGCTTGCTCACCTGCCTCTTTTTTGGACTAAGCACATTTGAATTTAACACACTACTAAGGAATTGGGCCTCACAGTAGAGGTGATATCTTTTATTAAACCAACTAGAAAAAATTTTTTTTTTGCAAAAATCTAGTTGGTCTAATAAAAGACATCACCTCTACCGCAAGTTCTGATTCCTTTCGTTTCTAGATCAATACGGCTACAACCCAGATACCTGACAACTACTAAGCATTTACACAGTATGCTGCAAATTAGGAACTCTTCTGCTCAAACTGACCCATGGGAAGGCAAATATCCCCACTCTATAGAGAAGAGAGGTAAGGTGAATCGTCTACAGCTACCCAGGTTCTGGGACAGAGCCAGGATTAGAAGTCTAGAGGATTTCATTCAAAACCGTGCTTCTGCAGCCGGCAGAATAACTTGATCCTGCTCGGGTCTCCTTTCAAACCAGTCCTTACACTTGGAAAAGCTTCCCTTTCTGTACAGGCAAGCAAGCACCCTCTTTTCAGGAAAAATCTCCTTCTTGGCACCCTCCTTTCTGGGGCAATCCACTAAGGCTTTGAACAATGTGCTAACATGAAACCCGGTCTGCATGACTTTGAGACTCAACTTGTCAGGCCATCCAGTCTGTAACATGCACTCAAATGCAGGACCCTTGGGACAAGGATAATATGACCAGATTTTCAACAGAAACATACCTTTAAGTAACTTGCATATTTCATGACTAAGAGAACACTGTAAAAGTATTTGCAGACATCACCACAGCTGGCTTCTGACTCAGTAGACACATTTCTAAGCAAAGGGTTTTCTTCTTGTAATGGCATCTAAAATGAGCGTACCCTGAAAAGCTAAATATTATTAGTTAACACTTGCTTTGAGAAAAGAGTAACTTGGATATTATAAATACCCCCATCAAATTTCCCGTTCACTGTTCATCACGTTTGGCATCTGCTTCCATTGAATCAAGTGTGGTCCTAGTAAACTCAAAGCAAGTTCTACTGAGTCCTAAGTGCCTGGAAGAAATATCTGGTGGTGCGAAAACCCAGATTAAACAAAATGAGAACTGAGATGCTTTATAGGCACATGGACACAAGAGGAGAGATGAGGTCTGTGCCCTCTGCATATACTGCAGAGCAAACCAACAGGGATCAAGGAAACGCGCAGAACCTCACTAGTCTACAATCCCTTGACATAAACTGCACGGATGATTTCCTTACATCCTAGCAAAGAATCACTAAAAAGATGCTGCTACAATGACGTTTGTTTTTGTAAAAAAAAAAAATAAATAAAATAACCAAAATGATGAGCTGTAGTGTAAGCAGCATTTGGCATTTTGCACGCCCAGAACAGAGGGATGTAGCAATCTTACTATTTTACTGGATTTGTATACTCACTGGTTTGCTCATTCCAGACATTCTCCAAGGCACTCATGCAGGGAAGCAAGGTCCTGCTATAAGGATATTAGCACACTTCAGTCCGTTGAGAGACAGGAAGGTCATACTGTCTTAACGCATTGTCAAATGAGACCATAGAACGCACATTTTAAAAACTATTCAGAAACTGAATTATTTATTTTAAAAATTTAAAACAGACAAACTGAGAATTGCTTAAAATTAAAATTCCTTGATAAAATTATTCACGCAGCATTCATGTTGTGATTTTTTTTTTATTTATTTCTGAAATGAAACCATTGTACATTGTACAAACCATAGCTACTGATGGAATAAATAAGTGAAAAAAATTATACTGCTGTACAACACACACACACATAAATCATAAGATGGAAAACGATTAGGTATTGAAGAAAACAAAAATTCTTTACACCTTCTAACAGGCCCTTAGATATAAAGAACATTCCAAAACATGACAATGTTTATGTATGAAGATAGCCACCCAAAACCAATCTCTTATACTGCCTTGTTGATTTTTTTTGTTGTTTTGTAAGTGCCAGCACTTTTTGGAATGTTTAACAACTACTTTCCCAAGCATAAAAATTCCAAGGAATAGAATAGTTCTGCTATAAAATGTTTGGCTGAGTAAATCTCGTATTTGGAAGGCCTTCCCAAGTGTTCCACAACCTCAGCTAATTTACTTGCTTCTAGTTTCTTTTGTTTTTGTAACTGAAGCTCCAACATTCAGCATTGTAGCAAGGAAGCACTTCATGATATTTGCACTATTTCTAGAACGTGAGCTGTATGAGAACTTTCAGTCACCTTGAAGTAAATTACAACTCCCCTTCTGCTCCACATCACAATGGTTTCAATTCACCCTTTTACAGTGAGTTCATAAAACAAATTTCAGGTAGAGATGGTCCAAGCCAACAAGCTGGATTTAGATCTGGTTCCAACCCTAAACAGGGCTTGGATCCTATGTTCCGGTTTGGTCCCATCTGTACTTTCTGGCATTAAAATGTGTTTACTCACATCCATTGGCCCATATGTGTTATTAGGCACTTCAAAGAAAGACTAACAACAGTCTTATACTCTATTTTGGATTTCTTCACACCAGGTAATGTCAAAGTCTCTAAGAAAGAGACTGACATTAACAGGTTTAAGGAACCCAAATCTATCTGCTTGTTCAATTGTCTGTTGTCACTAGAATCTGATTAAAAAAAAGTTCTGAATGTATTTTGTATAAGCTGTAAATAAAAAAGTTACTATTTTAGAAATAAAGCCACTAGCAAAATGGTTACGCTGCTTTGTTTTCCAAGCCACAGAACAATGGACACGGTTCTGAGCAGAAGCCACAGGAGAAAAACGGAATTTTATAGTTAACCTGTTGGTGTCAGTAATGCCAATAAATGTTTCTACCTAATGAAAAATTTGAGGTATTTTAGTGCTATTTATATATTTTTTCTTCCTAAAGTACAGGAATCAGTTTTTAAACCAAAAATAAAACAAAACAAAACAAACAAAACAACCCCAACCTATTTAGTCCCTTGGAAACTTATAGAAAAATCAAAAGCATGAACAATCTGAAGATAGCAATTAGTAAACATGACTACTTGTCAAAGGTGGCATCAGATTCATGTCGTTTTAGTATTAAAAATTAAAATGAGTGAATCAAAGTGTTCTTAAAAGTTTGAATTTCTTTAAATTTACCCATTTAATATATCAAATAGAAATTTTCTCACAAAATATTAATTAATTCTGAGTGTAATATACATACAAACTGATAGCCGTTGACCAGTTATCATCCACATTTTTAAGCATACACACAATTCAAGAGAGATACTTCTTCCATTTCATTATGTATATTGTGCAAACATAACTTTTGGCTCCTTATTTCCTTATTTTCAGAATGCTAATGAACTTTATGATCTGACCAGAGAATTAAAAAACGTATTAGGGAGCACACTGCTTTCATGAATGATTTGCAACCAAATTTTATTTAGTTAAGATCCAAAAAGTTTATTTCAACATAAAGGAAAAAATCCCAAACTTAGCGTAGCAAGTTATTTGGAGCTGAATCCCGCAAACATCTTATAGAAGGTCAGCATTGGCTCCCCACTTTTCCCGCCCCATGCTGTGTTTCATAATTAAAGTGGTAATTGCAAATGCAATGCAGTAGTCAAAGCTCAAGCCATTTTCACCATTGGAGAATTCAGAAATAAATAAGATTACAAAGAGCTAAGTATGAAAATGTATCGACTGGAAGCAATTTTATCATTAAAAAATATCTACAGTTCTTAGCTTACAAACTATACGCAACCGTTTTCATAGATGTGGGATCTTGATTTGAATTACCAGGTCCATCTCCTGCACCGAGCAAAAGAAGATTAAGGACCCAACCCAGCAACACTTATTTCTCATGTGAATATTCCTTACTCACACAAGTAATTCCTACTGCCGTTGCTGGGTGCCGAGACGACTCGGCACCGCTATGGAAGTACTAAGTCTACTGCGAGAGCAGGTGTTCAGGACCTGATCCTTGTCGATGCTCTGCACCTCTAAATGCTGTTGACTCGAAGGGAGTTGCACATGCTCAGCACCTCTCATTCAAGTCTAGAATGAGCAGACTTCAACATAATTGAAAAGGAAGGAACTTTCCTACCAACGTAGTTCATGGAAACAAGACTTATTTACAAAGACTTGGTGAAAATTAAAAAAAAAACAACACACCCCAATACAGTATAGATTGGAACATATCAGTAAACATCTTATCAAAGAACAGTACAATGAAATCCAGTTCAGTGAAAACCTGATAATCAAAATAAACCATTTCAAATACATTTGCTATTTATCAGTCCCTTTGATCCTTTATTTATAGTGGAACCCTTCTGTAAAATGTACACTGTACCCAGTACAGAGATCTGGACCTAATATTTAACCTACTTGAATCGTTTCGTTATCTATGTAGATCCGGCCTATAAATGGTAAATAAATTGTTAACTTCTGCTGAAGTCAAGTGTTTAAAAGACCAGATTTACAATTTGTGAATGCTGTGCATTCAATAAAAGGTCTCCACTGTAGCTGCAGAAAAATAAAATATCAAGCTTCTTTGTCTCCTTGGACTCCAAGTGTGAAAATGGCTTCCTAATCTCTCTCATCTCCTTTTGTTAATTTTTAAGCACCAGGGATTGAAAATTAAAAAAAAGAAAAGAAAAGAAAAGAAAGAAAGAAAAAACCAAACCAAAAAAAAACAAACAAAACTTACTACATGGCATTATACAAACATAGGTCACTTTGCAAAGGAGACAGTTGCAAAACAACTTTAAAAGTTAGCACTGTTTTCAGAACACAAGGCACAAAACAAAAGCAGACATCACGCCAGAACAATGAACTTCACATGAAAGCTAATACCTGACCTGTACCATCCTTAAATATCTTACATTGTTAAATAGAGAAATGAAAAAAAAAAATACAGCAGCAACATAATTGTAATTCTGACTTTAGAAACAGTGCGTAGACCCCTCCTGAGTTGTTTACTCCAACCATTTCAGAGACAGTAACTTAAAAGTTCTCAATGTTTGTTTCACAGGAGAAAAGTTTTCAGTGTCTGAGAAGTTAAACCTTTGTTAGGTTTTCTTGGATTTTTGCTTGGTAACTTGAAAAGTTAGGAGTTCTGTCCTCATCCAAGAGAAGATGCTTAAGTAAGGTTGTTCTATAATTAAGCCCACTGATGTACCTTACATAAAAACTGACCAGGAAAATCTATAGTCTAAATCTCTTCAACATTTTGTTGGGAAGCCTCTACTTTCATCTTTTTAGAAGGTGGCACTCCTTCAGAGTCCTTAACAGGGGGGAAAAAGAAAGAATTCATGTTATCATTGAACTGAATGTTAGGTCCTGTAGACATCAGATAAAAAACTTATGAGCAAATACTCAAAAAGCATTTTAGGATGCAAGTGACGTAACCAAATGAACACGCTTCCAGGAATCACCCTTTTAACCAACAATTTGCTTACGCTTTTTCCTTGTTAACACAGGGCAAATTTCAGGTTGCAGTCGCAAAGCCACTGTATGCTACGCTAAAAACAACAGCATTTACAAGCAGTCATGCTCTTGCTTCCTTTAGCTGCACACTCACCCATGGCCCACACCGCGCTCATGGAAGTTGTTCCTGCTCATAGTAATGCAATCTGCAAAGGACAATGCACGTGGGGTTTGGAGTGGGCATGTGTGCAGTAACAACTGAACCAACTACCACCAGCATCTCAGAGAGGATGCGAAAGGGACAACGTCTGAGCAGCCCCATTTCCCCCCATGCCCATGGCTTTGTAGGTATGTACATATACATGGTTCAAGCCACATTTGACCCTTTGAGTTTCTTAACATTGCACCTTTCCAGACGCGCTCAGTGTTCTGCTTTATAATGGACATATATGTGCCCAAAGCATCCTTAAAAGAGACATGATTCAATAGGTTAGGTCCAAAATGTACATCAGTAAAAATCTTGATTTAGATTTTAGCATTTCACTAAACAAGGAACTGCCCCCACCCCAACATCGGATCCAGACTACACGACTCTTTGTAGGCCAGATCCAAACCCACCTGAAGCAGCAGGGTGGACAGCATCAGGAAACCACAGGGGTTAACACAGCTGCCTCTGCCCCATTGCTGGACATCCCCGAACAGGCTCCACATCCCAGATTTCAGCAGCAGGTCTCACCTTCAAATTCCAAGCCCCTGTAGGAGCCCCGCAGGCTGGATGACATAGCTGTTGGCAAGATCCAGCCCCCAGAGTGTATCTTGGACACCCCTGGCCTACATGTATTATTAGGAACACAGTGAAGGAAATGAAGGTAAATGCACAGCTCATTTCCTGACCGTTTTCCTTTGGTTCCTCATGTTTAGAAAAAGGTTGACTGAATTTGGAAGAAAAAAATTCTAACATTCCTTTGTACTTAAATACAATTACCTGAGAGTTTTTAGATGCCTCTGATGTTATATCATTTTCTCCAGAGGTCTGAATGTCTGCTTTCTCTGAACTATTCATGGAATTATCCATTGAAGACTGTGAATTCTGCTCATCAGAGGTATCTGCAAGAGTAGACTTGTTTAAAAAATGAAATCAACTTGAAATAAGAACTTCTAAACCATTTTACATTCCAACACTAAACACAAACAGAAGTTTCATCCAAGCGTAATCACTGGTAATCACATACCCAATGACACGAACCATCACTGGGGATCAAATTCATTAGCTCCAGCACCACAAGAACAGCTTCTGCCACTGAGCTAAGGAACTCATTTTGCCAGCGGCCTGGGGAGCAGCATAGTTACTTGGATCACCCGCCAGGGGGAGTCCCAATCAACATTGTGACCACAGACAGGACCTGAATTCCCAATGTTTAAAAACAAATAGGAAAGAAGTTAAAAAAGATATTTCAGACCTTTCTATGCATCATAAGGCAGCAAAAAAAAAAAACAGGTCCAATGTTTTTATTTGGAAGTCACCTTTAAGCTTTTTTAAGTCATTCTAAATCAATGTGAAACTAAAATATGGAGTCATTTCTGAAATGAGGCTTTGTCCTATCTCACAGAAATATTCCTCCCTCTATTTTGGATCCTCAGGGCCCAACACATCTACCTGCAGGCAGGATTTAGGTCTGACCCAGTCACCCCTAAGGTCAGTGACAAAATTCCTGTTGCCTTCCAGAGGAGCAAGAGCACGCAAAATTGCTAATTATTTCAGTGAGACTTCATGTATGAAAGCAAAATCCGTGCGAAGGACTGTGCTCCAATTCATGCAATGTTAATGAAACGGAGTTTAAAAAACGCAAGCCAACTGGAAATGTTTATGGATAAGTTAAACTGCTAATCCCAGGCGGACTGCTGCAACTCATCACGGCTGACTTCTCACAACGTATTTATTGTTTTGTTGGTGCTGGAGAAAGACAGTTGCGTTTCATGTGACATGCCAGTCAGTCTATTCCACTTCATTTAAGCGTCTTTCTTATGAAAAATTTTGAACTGAAATAATCACTTAAACTGGTGATCGGAATTGGAAAAGCCGTAGGCGCGCGCAGAGACAGGCATCTGCATGTTATTACCTTCTGAACCAGGCTGCTCCTTTGCATCTGTCTGAATTTCATCAGACTTTACTTCAGTGCCATCTGCTTGTGTTGCTGAGTTCTGCTCTGGTGCTGGACTGGAGTTACTACTGTTCTCCTGTTTTATTGGAGAAGCATCAGCTATTGAACTCTGGTTGCTATTGTCATCTGGAAGAAAATTCTGCCTTGATGAAAAGTGAATACAAAAGGACATTTTGGCTTTTCTTGCATTTAGTTTTTCAGGCATTACTGAATAGTCAAGATAGATCTTAATCCCACGTGCCTTGCACACCTGAGACTCTTAGCAAGACATTAGAGGGAATTTTGGGCCGGGCCCATGTTCACTGAGGCACATAATCAAGTGGGACTTTTTACACTTAAGACCCCAGAATCCTTGCTGATGGTCTCTGCCATACACCCTGCAGCATAACTCTAGTGTACGTCTCTGCAGATATGGCGACCAAGGCAGGTACAGTAATTAGAAGTGTTCCAACAGACAACAGTCTTGCATTTACTGTATATGCCTCTGAGCAGAAGCCAAAACTCTATATTATGAGCCAGAACAGTAATGCAACAGGAAGATACCAGAAGTGCAAATAGCTAAAGCAAGAGCTCTGCATCCAAAGAAGGGCACACCTCTGGTCCAGCTCAACTGTGAGTTTTTCCAGCCAGGGTAAAACATACACATAAAAAAAACCTCGCAGCATGGTAGACAACGCAGGTTGCTTTCGTTAAACTGTCTGCATTTCTTTGTGGGAAACTGAACATTTTCTTTTTTCTGTTATTTAATTTTATCACGCGAAAGTTTTCCAGGGGCAGATATTTCAGGAGCCTAATTGGGTTTTTTTTCCTTTTTGTTGGGATGGGGAATGCATACTTTTGCCCTGATTCACACCACACCAGTGAGAATCAGAATCAACTCCATTAAACTAATGGAGTTAAAAACATAGAAATGACACAAGTGATATGAGAAAGTAGATTATCTGAAAACATAGCTTCCTCTTTTTTCATAACATTAAGCCAATATGCTCATGTCAAAATACAAATTATGCTGTAAAGGAACTCACATCCTTCAAGGAATTTTACTTACAAAGATTCCTAGGAACTTAAAATGTTGCTGAAATTTCAAATGCTGGAAAGAAACCGTCCAGTGTTATCACCATTCATGTCGCAGCTCAGTTAGGAATTTTGTTTGACATGACCTACTGTACACATCAAACTAAAGATAATCAACCATAAAGGCTTGCAGCCATGTCTTTCGCACTTCTATAATCTTCCATCCAAAATATTTCAGTGCCTTAAAATCCTAAATTAAGAATCATGGCATTTCTCTCGTGCTTCTTACGATAGTCCCCATAGCAGTATAGACCACCACAATTAAGGCCATAAACGAGCTTCCATTCCAGCCCTCTGCTATCATGTTCTGATGCCTTACAGATGACTGATTTTGAGGGTGAATTTGCATGTTTAGTCTCTGTTGGTTTTTCATGCAGAATTCTTTCAGCTAATTTTGAGCCTATTAAACACCTTTTTCAGTCTGGGAGGGAGGTGTGGTGGGGTAAAGGGGAAGTGGGGAAGAGAGATGGCGATAGAGAAATGCATTTCTCTCTTGCATGGGTTACTACAGTCTGCAGTTATTTACATCCGATGGCTCCAAAATCAAGTTATTACGGTGTGAAATGTGGAATGGGGTCTTTCATTAAGCCACTAGCTGTGAACTTTTTAAGGACAGACACTTTGCAGGCACATGCAGCTAGTTTAAGTTACCAAACATGCTCAAAAGAAATCACTAATTTTCTTTGCTAAAGCCAGGGGTGTTTGCACTTAAAATTAGTGCTGTAGCACTACCACACTGAATTTGCATTTTGTCCCTTCCCCTTTTTATTGTATTATTTGGCTCCACACACAACAGACAATGACATCTATTCTGAATTCCTGCTTGAGCAAATCATGCCCACAGTTACAATGAGCAATACAAAAATGGTCCTTCACCATGAGGTAGCTGAGTCTGATGCTCTCCTACTCACCATGCATGTCCATCATCCCTGGAGAGGAACTATTCTCTGGAGTTGTCACTTCAGATCCACATTTTTCATCTTTGCCTTTTTTCTTATTCTTATTTTTCTGAAAAAGCAAAGACATCCCCTAAAGATTAGAGTTACAAATGAGATTAATCCACATTTATTGTAGGACTTTCAAGCTTGGCATTTTAGTCTTGTGTCTCACGCTCACAACTTTCAAGTGGAAAATAAACCCAAGTCAAGAATTGTCAATACCAACGATGCTGCTGTTACAAGATCAGAGAAACAGCTCTCCAGGTGGTTCTCGACCTGGCGTCTACTCACGAGGAATTCTTCCATGCATCTGGACCACTAAGGTGACAGAGCCTTTGGGAAATAAGACTGCTGTCCAGTATGGCATATAGTTATTGATGGTTTGAAGACATCTAATTCAGCAAGAGTACTGCAATAGGTGCATATTTTGATTAATTATGTACCCATTATGGTGGCCTTTGTGGGCATTAGTGTTTTTATTGATTTTCCCTCCCTCTTCCAGCAGCTAAAACATTAACTGGGAAAGGGAAGACAAAGTCAAGATTTCCCATCAAGACAGGCAGGGAGGCAATGCCATTGATCTGAATAGATAGGCACTAAGAATCAGAAGGTCTTTACTTAATTTCTGACTCTGCAGCCTTGCTCACTGCGTGCTCATGGGTAAATCAACTCTCTGCCCTACCTTGGCATCCACTCTAACCTCCTTGGAAAGCCATATCATGAGGCGACAGAGGCCCAGGCTGGGCTCCCCCCTGTCCCTGTGGAAGGAGCATCTTAACCTTCTGCATGAATTCTTGAATGTGCATATAAAGGTAATTCAGAATTTCTTCTATGAAACAATGGCCCTTTGCCTCCCTCTTGCTGACCCAGGTTGTGGAGACTTCCTCCTCCTCCACATCTAATGTAGGTTCTGCATTAATAATAGAGTAGGAAAGATCAGCCAGCATGAGAGAAAGAACCACCTCACAGCAGCAAGACTGTCCTGCATGAACATATAGCACATTACACTACAGTAACAGAAGGAGCTGTAAGCATTAATACAAAGGGAAAGATGGTAGTATGCATCCAAAGCAGGGAAAAATCTGGGGCTGGAAAGGGATGCAATATTTCCAATTAAAACATGATGTAATTAATCCCCAAAGAGAAAGTGCCAGCTACACTGCTTGTGGAGAACCAATGCTTGCTGTGAGAATGAAAAGCCAGCTTCTAATGTAGGAAAAGCTAAGCCATCACCCCATTACGGTTAGGGAGCATCTTCCAAAGAGACACAAACAAGATGGCAATCAATAAAACCTGAAGGATTCAACAAGACAAATACGGGTCTTTTCCTTCTTTTAACTTGTAACAGAATAGGTGGAAAAGTTACACATAGAGGAAAGGTAAACCTTTGCATGAACTTAGCTTATTTAGCTGAACAAAAAGGCTGGAGGAGCTAGGACTTTTCTATAACTACATCAAGGGGATAAACTTCAAGGAGAGGAAAAACTATTTAACTTAACAATTTTGGCACAAGAACACACAAAAACTCACTGCGAACAAGTTTAGGCTGGTGATTGTAAGGTGGCCCCTAACCATCAGGGCTGTAAGGTTCTGGAATGGCTTTCCAGTAGGAGCAGTGGGGCAGAACACTTTAAATATGCACACTCACGTGCGCGCATTTCAGAAAGTTAGCTACAGAACTGGCTGCTCTGAATCAAGGACGCCACATTCCCAAATACTTGGGTTTTCTTTTTGGAAGGATCAAAGTGGTAACACCTGAGTGAGGAACTCCTGAATCATCTCTTCAGCATGCACAAGGGGAAGAGGCATCTATCATGATCCCTAAAATATCAGGCAACTCCCCTGGGGCCATGAAACATTGCAGCACATTAAGAAGCCCCCACATCATGTTCAAATAATCACTAGAAGAGGACTCTGACCTGCTCCTATATAGCGGGCCAAGGGCTGGTGCAAAAAAGATCCTCGAGACCAAGCAGAACATGCAAAGATTTTGGACCCTCCCCCATTCACTTTACTGTCATGTACAGATTTTTCTTCTGTCCAAAAAGACCTCCCCTTAATCAGAGAAACAACGCAGACACCCTTTAACCTTAAACTAGACTGCAATTTGCTGCAGCAGCATGACTGTGCCTACTGGGGATAAGCAGCATTTGACGTAGATGTTAGAATGACCTAGTTTCAAGGAGATGCTGACAATTACGCGTATGCCCAAAATCTAGGGATATTTGCCCAATATGTCCAAACTACCATCCAAATATTGGAACTGGTTCTATGTAGAAAGACTCTGTACAATCACAGAACCCCACTGACTTAGCAGCTATTAATGCAGAATGAACTGCAGAACTGGGGCCTTAGGCACCCTGGAACCACGTCAAACTCCATTCCAGGTTTCCATTACAGAAGTGTACTATGCAGGACATTTGGGAAAATACACCGCTAGCGTCCTCTTGGTTGCAAGCTTAGATGTAAGAAAGGGGACCCAGAATGCCCCAGCAATTGCAGCGCTCAGGTCCGAAATATATTTAACAAACCCCCCGCAACTGCAGCACAACGATCACTGTCTGTGTCACAAATAGTCCAATTAGCACAAACACTTATTAAGGAGTTAAAAATGACCATGGTCATCTACTGGTTGTATTTTTTCCACAAAGAAATTCATGAGAGGTTATTTCTCACATATGTAGTTCAGTTTGAAGGCACTTTTAAATATAAGAGACACTACAGAAATGCTTATCTTCAGCCAGTGAAGTTTTCAGGTCAGCTGAAGCCATGGAAAAAGAAAGACTTGCTTTAATAACAATGCATCCTAAATAAAGGACAGAGCTGGGCCTGGGAGCTGGACTTTGAATAACATGGATCCAGGCCCGAGACTTCTTCTGAAAGATCCATCAAAGGACCTTTGCGTGCAGTGTCCCCAGAAATTACACACTAAAGAGCACGGCCTGTGTGCTGATCCAGGGAGAAGAGAGCCACCTACTGAATCACCAACAGCACTTTCTGCAGCAGCCTAGGTTTCTCAAGATCTTCCATTCAAGTGCTACCAACCTGGCCAACCCAGCCATAGCTTGCAAGATCTGGGGAGGGCTAGGGCATTTCCTCAAAACCCCAACTAAACACAAGATACCTGTAGGATGTGCAGCGATACTTACATCATCAACTTTGGGCTCTGTTACTGGTACCCATTTGTAAATCCTGAGGGATGTGTCACCAACTGTCACCCACTTCTTCTCCCTACAAAATTACAATGCAGGAGAAGTTAAAATTAAAATCTTTATATTCAGAATAAAAAAAACCTACCACTGTATGCTCTCAAGGATATAAATAAGCTATCACTCCAGTAAGATACTATTACACCACCTTGAACACGTATATACAATTATTCACATTTAAAAAAACAAAACCAAAAGATTGCAACCTGCAAACAAACTCCTTCACAATTCTGAGGGCTCTTACTGGTCTGGCTGAGGGACTGCAGTAGCAGTAATGAGGCCTGGGCAAGAGATATGGTTATGCAGACTTCTACCGAAGTTACAACAGTTACAGCTGTCATTTAACATTGCATGCAGCGGCAGAGGTGTTCAGACCTGGGCTACTCTCAAGAGCTGTGTTTACTGATACTGGAAATCTGCATGCACTGTGACCAGATGACTTTTTTTTTGGAGAGAACCTCGTAACGATTTTGGTGTTCACTCAATACAGACAGCAAATACTTTTTAAATGAAGGACTACTAAGAAGCACCACGCACTGCCATGCAGAAGGCTAGAAACGGATGCGTCAGGTCCTGGCTCCCTGGACCAGCAGGGCCTGAGCACGCTCCGGAAGAGGGGACAGCACTCCCTGCGGCACCTGTGCAGACCCTGCCACCCAGTCACAGCGAGACTGGCGACTTGTGAAGAAAATCTGGCCAGAGGGCACCGCCGCTGCGGGACGCCAGGCAGCTACAAAATGGGGAGGATGCCAAGAACTGGGAGTTCAGGAACCAAACTCCTGGAGAACAAGAAGGCTAAAGGAAGGTCCATACCACCAGAGAAACTTCACCTAGTCTCTGGCGATCAGGTTTCCCAAGGCACAGTGGATCGCTATTGGTTTGTAGATTCAAAATACATTTCTGCAAACAGATCCATTACAAACCAATAGAAATACGATTGATTATACAGGAACAATTGGAATTAATTTAAGATTCCAAAACATATGCTGCTTTGAGTTATGTTTTGCCTTTTCTTTTTTTTTTAAAGCAAAGATATGCATGACAGCTGGATGCCGAACCTATCATTTAAGTATATTTTAAAACTGTTCACTGCAGGAAGGAAGAGGCTGAATGATCCTTGTCCAGTGCATTTGTGATCTATTCAGAGAGGCTTGTGATCACATTTGAGCGCCACTGACACCCTCCTGATTGCCTGCATTTTGGCCACTAACAACGTCAACTTTGATCTCTGTCTTCCTTTAAGGGATACTCTACTGTGCTTAGAAAAGGAACTAGCTATGGCACTCTGGTAACAAGTTTGAGCTTTCCCTA